CCAGTAGTAATTAAACCTGAGAACCTAAGAAATTTGAATTTCTTATATTTTGGAATGCCTTACTTTTCATTCTTTCGCTACCATTTGTAAAATGAAAATGCTTTGAAACAATTTTCTTTAAAGTTAACACTGCGAATTACAGAAAAAAATATTAAGTGAATCTTATTAAATAAGACTATGCCCTCTTCTGGCCACTACCACAAATTGCAACTCAGTTCTGCAGAGTAAATTGGAGACACTTGCATGGCTTCCTAACAGTTTGAGGCTAACACCTTTTTGAACTCACCATTTTGGATCGTGCTGCATTGAATTTTTCTGATTGTGAAGTGCATTTCTACTGTAGATGCTTTTAATCTTTCAGTGTGCTTATGTTCATATCTGGGGAAATATTCTTTTCCATTTGTTTAAAATAATATGTCACCCATTCTCAAAGGTAAAAATAATTGTATTCAAAAAACTAAAACATCTACTCAGACAATATTGATTCTATATAGATTATGTTTAATGCATTGAGGAGAGGCAATATTTCCAGTGGGAATAGCTTTCATTAAAATTTAGAGATATTCTTGAAATTTTAGAAATACAGTTTGTTCTGCATATGGAACATTTGAAAACTATTCATTCAGCTATTCATTTCAGTCATTGGAAAGTCCCTGAAGATACTGCTCACAAAACAGTTTTTACAAAGTTTTCCTTGTATGTCATTGCTTTTTAAAGGACAATAAGCTTTATTGTTATTTTTAGAGAGAAATGAAAACCCAGATGTGGTAGGAATTAGATATCGTAATCTGAGCAGTAAGAATCACTAGTGACTAATTATTTATGCACATATGCCTTTTCCATGAAGCCAAAAAAATCATATTTTCACAGTGTATTTTACCAGCAAATATAATGAGTTACTGGAGAGTATCTGGTGCTGATTTAGAATGCAAATTTGTTTAATAATTATGCACTAATTTTAATGGTGTAAGGGTGTGAAGAAAAATCCTGTAAAGTTTTGATAGATGCAATATTCAGTTTTGTGCTAAACAAAAACAAGAAACCTTTTAGACTCAGAGCTTAAACCACAGTGCAATGCCTGCCAAATAATTGCTATTCAGTTAGCATATACTGTGTGAAGAATGATTTTGGATAATGAATTTCTTTGGGACTCCAGCAAAATCAAAGAACTCTACAAGATGGTCTATAGACACATGGTTTTGGGTACAATTTCATGAAACTCTTGGGTCTCCTACATAATATTCTGATCAGGAACCTTGGTATTTTTGTTGTGTTATTGTATTAATCTGTTTATTAAATACTACTTTTGAAATGCACTAGACCATACAGAAGATGCCAAATATAAAATATGATGCTGTAAGGAAAGTTACTTTATGTAATAGATATCTGTATTAAAAGTACAGTAATTTTGGAGTTGCTGGATAATTTATGTAGGTAACGTAATAATGTGGACATATCAATTTAAGAAACTAATCTGAAGCTAATTTTCATAATGTTTTATGTGTTACTTTTATAAAACTTTTAAGATGCAAACAACCTTATCAAATAGAGTGCTTGTCTAACTACTAAACAGGAAGTAAAGAAACTGAGGCTCAGCAGTGACTCTCTAGTCACAAGCTCAGTGGTATGTGTGAGTCATCAGGAAAGGACTTTCTTACTTTAGCAATTTCAGACTATTAGGTGAGGAAGGATTCACGTCTGTTTCCTCCCTCACAGCTTTACATAGTGTCTGATTTATATGTAGTGAGTAATACCTTTTCATTTATTGAATTAAACAAAAGATAAATGTATTAGATAAGGAATTCAGTCATTCAACTCCAATTTATTAACCATTCACTTCCTGCCATACACTGAGCCAGTAAAAGACATGATTAAGATACTAGACCGAGCTTCAAGTTTCTCATAATCTATTTTTTCCATGAGTATTAAAAACAATCAAGTAACTGGCTAATGCTGGCACCATTTGATAATGTTGGTACATCATCTAGTTCTTGAAGTCCTGACATTCATACCTATAGAAGCTACTTGGGGCCTGAACTTCTAGCCCACTAATTAGGCATAAGGAAGAAGAGGATGAACTGTAAGAGATAACACATGACCAAAATGAATTGGATCTATTCCATATACTCTAGAAGACACAGAAGGTAAAAGTTCTATGGTGGTATTATTCATTACTCCTTCAGCATTGGGATTGAATCATTTGAAAGCTAATCAAGATTATAGGAAAAGTTCAGATATTTGTCAATAAAACCCAATGCAGTTTTACTCATGAGAATGTTTCATATTAGAAAGGCGCCTAGGAGAAGATGGAAAGGAGGCAGACTATAGTGTGTGGTTTACAAAGCCTTCAGACTAGTAGAGGTTAGTGTGAAGCACACGTGTAAGGAAGAAGAGATCTTAAATAAGATATGGAAGAACATTGAAGATAAACAGATGAATTTTTTTGTGAGAGTGTGTACTTTGTTGTTGAGGAGATCACTACTATGATAGGTTAGTTACTTACATTCTGGGCCTCTGTTTCTTCTCAGGAAAACAAGGATAATAATAATCTGCCTGCAAGATTTCCGGAGATAAAAAGTAGCTTGAATAAACTGCACAGCACAGTAACGCTTAGATCCTGGTGTCAAATAAACAACTCTCACTGTTACTCCTTTGTATTAAGATATTATCTTTGCCTCCTGATGGCAGTCTCTCAACAAATAGTGCTGCAATTGCATTTAATCTACTTAGTGGGCATAGAACCAAGGGGTGGATATTACCTGTGAACATCCAGGCTTAGTTTGGTTTTCATGCCATGAAGAGTCATACTTTCACAACATACTACTGTAGTGAGTTGGGACACCTTTTACTGTTTCCCCTCCCCTCCCATCCTTTACTTTCCCTTTCTTTTCTCTCTTTCTGCTTGAGACAGGGTCTCACTATGTAGCCCCAGTTGCCTGAAATTTGCTATGTAGACCAGGTTGACCTTGAACTCACAAAGATCTGCCTGCTTCTGCCTCCTGAGTGCTGTCATCAAGGCTTGTGCCACCATGCCTGGCCTGAGATTCTTTCTTTGTGAAGAAAGTGAACATCAAAACCCCAGTTCTGTGTTCATATTACTTTTATTGGTCAGGATTCAGTTAGGAAAACAGTTCTTATAAGTACATGTGGGAATAAGGGAATTACAGAAATTTCACCTAATACAACGGAGGAATTTGGAAATAAAAGTCTGGTAGGAAGAAACCGGCCGATCTGAGACTCACCACCTCATCCAACTGGGCAGACAAGTGGAAACTGTCAGGAAATCCGTGAAGTTCAACATGTTCCATTGCAGACAAGGCTTTCAAGTGGAGGTGGAGGAACTGTCTATGGGGAACTAAGAGAACAAGGGTGGCCTGGAAACTACAGGGGGCCTAAGCATGGTGACTTCTTTTTGACCTCTATCTGAAATACTCATCCATAATTTACCATAAAGGAATTATGGATTAGTTTTCACTCTTGGTGATATACAGAAAAGAATTCTGGGAAATGTAGCTCCCAACCTTAGTGAAGCTGACTCATCACAGTCTAGTACATTGCAGTCCTTGTCAACATGGTTTAGTTCACTTATAGCTGCTGCATTTTTGTGGAAGTAATGGCCCCAAACAGAATATCCTCCACTGAAAGTGGAGATAACCAGCCTTTATATGGCAAAGCATTCCCTTCCAAAAAGGCACACAAAGTTACACATCTGCTCATTCTTCGTTTGTCCAGTCAAATCCACCTTTAAGTGCTCTGTGATGTTAATCCTGAGATAGAGTTAGCCACTATTGGTAAATTTATTGTTAGAGTATGGAATAGTGAAGAAGAAATTACTATATAAGGACCGTCCCTGATTACAGTGGTTCTTAGGGCTTCCAGCTTCATGGCAGTGACAAAGTGTTAGGTATTCGGTAGCAGCTGTAGTCATTTGAATTTTAGTCTTTTCCCAGGCTAGGATATGTGGTACGATATTCTCATGAGATGCTGGGTAATGACTACAAACCACAGCTCCCAAATCCTGTAGGGTAAAGAACTGATACTCCACAGTGTACTGCTTTGCAAAGCTATGAGGTTTGTATATTACATATTAACTAAATATATTTTGAATTTGCAATATTTTCAACTTATGCATTTAATGGGATATAGTCTCTTTGTAAGTGAAGGAGTATCAGCTCACACACACATACACACACAGAGAGAGGGAGGGCGGGGGGGAGAGAGAGAAAGAGAGAGCGAATAGAGAGTTAACTTGAAGCAAAGAAGAAATAAATGCTACTGTCTTCTGCACCTGACCTGTACTTGGTCATGAGATTAAAGGTGACATCTGTAACTTTCTTCATTCATTCTCTCCTTGTTTCCAGCAGATGCCTTAGTTAATTGTAGTTGCTTACTGTGATGAGTGATCCAGATGTCATTAACAATCGCAGTTACACAAGGTTGTTACAACTGTCGATTAACTTTTATGACAAAATATTGGAAGACCTAGCAGCACCCTAGAGGATGTCCTACCGGTTGGGCATACTGCTGCCCGCCTTGTTCCTGTGGTTTCACTGTTGTTGCTAACAGGCAATGGAACACTCAGGTTCCAAAAAATACTGTTTTATTATGGAACAACTATTCCTTTAGGAAGTAGATAGATCTATGAACCAAGAAAACCCAAAAGTTATAAGGAAAGGAAACAAAGATGTTATTAGTGAATCATTAGGATTAATAGGAAATGTATCACATGGGTGTCTGTGGTTTTCAGACTCATAGATTTTGAAGATAAGAAAAATATCTCTACATATTTACAGTGAGTTCAGAGCTCATCTTACCTTGGGAAGACATGATTCCAACCCTAAAAATGCTTTCACCA